GCTGTCATCAGATATGTTGGCAAGTTAAAGTGGTCACAGAAATTCTTTTTTTTTAGTGAAACTGAGTTAATACTGACAATGAGACAGTGCAGATGGTCCAGCCCAGCTTATGTCGTACTTTTTTATCTTATCTTATTTAGCGATCAGCCTGCCCTTTTTTCATAAAAAAGTGGCTGTCGGTAGGAACTGAGAATGCCACAGATGGAAACATCCATAAAGGTATGAAACATTATTGACGTTTTAGTTTGAACACTTGAATGAAGTCATTTGTACATAAAAGAAAGAGGGACAAAATCTGTAATGGCGCAATAAATGACCACAGTACATTTTCCTAGTAATAATCAACATACTTAAAGTTGTTTTTAACATCGTATTCTTTATATGCACATCCCTAAATTCCTAATATCTGTGAGAATGATCCATACACTTTTTTCACTTTTATGGTGAAATGTACAGATATTTATGTATGTTTGCATATAGATAATTATGGATTTTAACATGGAGAGATCATAAGGCTATTATAAAAAAAAATACAAATGCTTAATAAAACCTAAAGGTTTTGACAGTGAAGGATCAGAGCTGCATGGGTGAGTATGGCACATTGAGCTTATGTGTTGAGGCTGAGAAATGTGTTCATACTGTCAGCGTCTCAAGTTTTTTGCTCAGTTTCCCGTTGGCTCCCGATTAATATTCGCCACGGTGAGGGGGGAAGAGCGAATTAAGGTTAGTTTATGGCGATAAAGGACCGACGATGCTTGTTTGTTTAAAGCCCCCCGGAATGCATGTTCTCTATCAACCTGTGTGCATCTCTCTTTGTTCAGATGATCCCCGGGGCGCGTTGGAAGTCGTAGGGTCAGCCTCTCCTCTGTTTGCCTCTGAGCTAACCACCACCCTGTTTAATTAGGCCTCTAATCAGCCACTAAACACACAATAAAATGAGACAATCTGTATCTGTTTACCTCCCTCTCAACACTCTGACACACATAGTCTGCATATTTGCATGTATAGTTGAGAGAAGGGGGGGGGGGGGGAATCGGCTATCAGAGACAAAGATCAAGGTTATGACTCCTCTCCACACTCGATTCCCTAAAACCAATTAAACTGTCAGCCGGTGAAGTTCAGTTGGAGGACACGGGGCAGAAACAATAGCAGATGACAGCTTTTCTCCGCTATCTCGGCCGGGTTTTTCTCGCAGCGGTAATTATATTTGCAGATTCTGTCATTAAAAGGCTAAAAAAGCCTCAGAAGTTCTGCAGTCAGATGAAATAACTGAAATGTTTTTGTGACCGGAAAAAGTGCGTTTAGAGGCTGAATGCGTTTGGTCGAGTGGACTTTTAAAAGGAGTTTAAATGAACCAAGCAATGGGGAGCAGATCTAGAGTTGGACAAATACTCTAAACTGTTTCTTTAGGAAATCCAGAATTCAGTAGTAAATGAAAGGCTGAACAAAAGGACCCTCTCACACTTCCAAATCCTGCATGTGATCATGTTTTCCTAATCTATACTTCCTCCTGTAGCAACTCTGTAACATATAGTCCAACTATAACACCCATACTAAGTTTTTTAAAATGTTCAACTTCAAATAAAAAACTTCAAAATGAGTACAGATAATACAGAAAAGAGGATTTCTCAGTTCTAACTTTTGAAGACCATGATGTTTGTTTTTCAACTGAATTGAAACTGGTGTGGTGGTTAGCACCATCACCTCACAACAGGAGGGTTCTGGGTTGGAGTCCCCGGGGGAACCAGGACCTTTCTGGGTGGAGTTTGCATGTTCTCCCTGTGTCTGCGTGGTTTCTCTCCGGGTTCTCCGGGTTCCTCCCACCGTCCAAAAACCTGATTGGACATTCCAAATTGCCCTTAGGAGTGAGTGTGTGTGGTTGTGTGTCTCTGTGTGGCCCTGTGATGGAGTGGCGTCTACCCCACCTCTCACCCATTGACTGGGATGGTCTCCGGTGATCCCATTTGGGAATAAGCGGTTCAGAAAATGGATGGATGAAACAGACTCAGCTAAATAATACTTTATTAATGGCTCATCTATAAAGTCAGTTGAAAATGTGGCATTTTGCAATGATTAATTTTTAAATCGAAAACTACCTTCTACAGCGCTGGCCTTTGAGCATGTTTAGGTCAATATTTTCATTCAGTGATCCCGCTGCTGACTTATTTTGCAGTGTCACACCAGGGGCCACATCTTCCATGACTACAGGAGGATGGTCAGCAAGCTGCTTAAAAAAAGAGAGAAGAATTCACACGTCACACGAAACTGTTTTCATTAACAGCCAAACAGCCTCACAATAAAGTGCTAAATAATTGTTTCGCCTTCATGATTCATGTCTGTTTTTATTTAGTTGAAAGAAATGACAGAACAAACATACCTTCGTTATTTCAAACCAGGGTTTTTTTCCCCAAGTATGGAAGATGTGTTTATGTGGTGCTTCATAACATCAAACTCCACAGTTAAATACATCTGAGCTTTCTCCGACTAGGCCAGCTCTTACAAAAAAACAAAAACTGGGAAAATGACTTCTGCTGCTGTGGAATATAAAACGGCTTCTTCAGAAGCCGTGTTTTTCTTTTTCTGGCGGTTAGCAACAGTGCACGGCTGCCGATGACTGACTGTTTAAACAAAGATGAGCGGGCATGCCTGAGTATCCTCACGGCCTCGAGAGAGCTTCCCCCATGTGGGCTGACCGTGCTGCAGTTGAGAGAGTAGCACAAATACACTCCTCTGTTCAAGCAATAACCAGCTTTTCTGCTCCTATGCAAGAAAAAAGAAAAAAAAAGAAGTGGGGTGGTAATTTGAATGGCTTCTGCCAGCTGGGGCAGAGCTGGGGGATGGACAGAGGGTGTATCAGCGCATGGATGTGCAAGTGTCTGACACCGAGAAGAGAAAAAAAATTTGAGCGTGCATGTACTGAACGTTTGTGTGCGTGTATGTGTGTGTGTGTGTGTGTGCTCATCCCCAATTTGCATTTGCGTCTGCCATGTGCATATGTATGTGTGGCACAGTGGACCAGAACAGAGCCCTGACAGTAGCAGTACTCCTGCTCGCTGATCCCTGCCCGCAGAAGCCGACAGCAGCGTGGCCTGTCAATCACCCAGCAGCAGCCCCTCTATTCACATTACACCAGCTTGTTAAGTCTAAATCGATCCGGAAACTGTTTTATTTTAGCTGGCGTTTGTGCGTGCTAGAGCTGGGTTTGTCTGTTTTCTATGATGTGCCTCCGTGTTGTGCTCTTATTTGCGCGAGCCCGTCTCAGACAAAGATCAGACAAGACAGATGATGAAAAGCTGCTACAGGGGTACACTAAGAAACACGTCACACTGTGGGGTCGTCTGATTTTGTGGAGACATGTCAAAGCAACAGTAGACATAATGGACTCATGTCAATGTGGAGCATAATGAGGAACAAGGGGACAGTGTTTTGCCTTTGAATCATAGACATTTTTTGACAGATTTAGTCACACAGGAAGTTTTTTTTTAATCTCAAAACACATCCCTTTGCAGTCTCCATGATAGCTGAGCATTGTTGTCATTGAGAGAAAGAGACCTATGGCTCTTACTCAAAAGTAATTATCTCCTCCTATCACCCACAATGGATGGCTACTAATGAGAGCTGGAGTCCTGATTGGTCGCCTGCTGCTCCGGGGAGACGCGGGGCTCTTTTAGTTTTGATAAAAGAGCCTCAATGCACTGGAGGAACAGAGTGTTTGGACAAATCAGTCATCTGTGCAAATACCAGGAGGAATGTGGCCACAATCATACATAACAGTGTTTAGGCGCTTAATTATCAGAGTGATAGGGATTTAGAGAGAAATAAATATGGATTACATGATTTATCATAATTACAAAGATTCATGGAGGTTGGAATTTGTTCACTTGTGTCACTGATCATAAATTATTAGTCCTACATCATCTTAAAATGAGTTGATCATTATTGAAGAGACTTCCTTAATGATATTGACCACTGAATTAAAATTAATCTAATAAATTGAAGGAATTCGAGTATGAGGAAATTCTAACAGAGAACAGTGAGAAAACAAAACCTTATTGTGAAAAAAATTAACATAGCTTTTAGAGGTTGAGTTATTTTTCAAATGTTTGCATTCCATGTAAATATGTGAAGATGAATTTGCTTGGCTACAACCTTCAAGGGTAAAAACAGAGAGAAAACACTGAACACATGTAATGCTTTGTTTTTTTGTAGCTAACACAGCAATTTGTTTTCGTTATAACTAAGTTAATGAAATTGAGTATTGCTAAATCTTTAATAGTCTCAGTTGTGTTTCCAACCTTCTGCTGATCCTCCAGCAGTGAAGCTGTCTGAGTCATCACTGCCTCCCACTAAAAAATTGGCAATGGAAAAAATTATGGAGCATAGCCAGTCCTGTACCTATACAAGAAGATTTTTCCCACTCCTTTAATACATGTGAAATTTGACTTTAGTTTGCTCAGAAGTAATCTTTACAGCTTTCAGACAAATTAGACATTGAAAAGGGGTTAAAAAAAAAACTACAAAAAGTGGGATCCTTTTAGACTAAACCAAAATCTCAAAATCCCTTCACACTGGTGTCCATCTTCACAAGCAGAACTATTTCTGAGTAAGCCTATAGTTTTTTTAGCCCTTATCAGACAAAGATTTTTCAAGGTAATCTTATGTCATAAAGTTGTAAAAGTGTAACTTGATAGACAATAGCTCAAATATTACAGATACACCATGTAACTTGAAGAAATTATTATTATTATTATTAAGAATGATAATAATTTTATAATAATCGTAATCATTGGTATTGTTATTAACATAGATGTTGCGTTGTCGTTTCGCATTCAGAAACTACAATCCCCATAATCCCTTGTGTTCAAAAGACGCTGGTCGGATGTTGACAATTTGTTGATGATGAGTATTTGAAACTGCGCCGTATGTCTTTGTTTTGGATGTCTGTGCCCATACCTCCCTCTTCTAAACGAAAGAATGTATTTTTTGTTGGACACAGTTCGTAAAAAATATATGTTTAGTATGTATCTATTAAAAAGTTAAACCACAGCGACAATGAACCGAACGTTCGCAGTTTCGCATTAACGAAAACACGAAGCTTCCACCAGTTAAAAATACTTTTTTTTTCTTCCATTTTATATTGCCAAAATCCGACCGTACAAAAATGACTAAGACTTTCACATAATGTATTATGTGACTTGTTTTTGTGTGCTAATAGCGAGTCTATGCGTTGTCCGAGTGTTCCAGGAAGGCAGCACAAGATAAACCACAGGAATATTGTTTGCGGGCTCAAATATCCGGATAATTTAGGGAAAGACGTGGATTGCGCCACATGAATGGATTCGTGGATCTACGTTTTACGTAAATTTGAATTTGTCTTCCTTTTACTTGGTTGTTTGGGTTTTCCGAGCTGCCCAGCGGGAGCTAACAATTCATGTTTTGACAGCTCAGCTAGTCTGTAGGCTAGCTAGCCAAAGCTGGCTACCTAACACCAGCTACTTAACATCAGCTAACACTGTCACTTCCAACATTAGTTATAGGAGACAGCCCATCTTTCGGTGTGATTTGACCACTTTAGATGTCATTTTAGTGGCCTTACCGAACCAATGTCTTCGTGACAGGAACGCGTGCTATTTGTTATGGACGAGCATTTAAGTCAGTCATGGTTGTAACGTAATTTAAGCAACTTCAGTGGCTTTTTTTTTTTTTTTTTACCGTGAGATTTTAAAGGACGGGTTAAAAGTTTTTTTTTTTTTTCATCCGCTTAGCTAACTCTCGCTCTCTTTACGTCACGATAAAGCTAATGTGCCTGCTAATGAGCAGGATGTAGGGTTATATTCGTGTTATGTTTGAGGTCAGAAGTTAAACTTTAACTGTAAAGTTGTAAGAGCTAGTTGAAAACATCCCTGGTGAGTGGAAACACTGGCTTTAAGATATTGGTATCAGTCCTGTAAAGCTGCTCTGCTGATGGGGTTGTTGTGTACACTGGCTCTTGTATGTATATTTGGGTTACAATAGGTGACGCTTATCGATTAGCTTAAATAATTGCAAATGAAGCGGTATTGAAATTAGATGGATGCAGGGGATAGTTATTGTACTGGAAGTGGTTCGTTTCTACTATGAAAGTACAGGACATAGGCTAAAGAATATCCTCCAGATCTTATTGATTTTTAGCTGCTACTGACCTCATTTGGAAGCGCCACGGTGCGTTTTTGGCGTGATTAAAAAACAAAAAAAAACGTCCTCAGGTTCTTCTAACGGTAGTCTAATGCCTGGATGTTGTCAGAAACTAGACCGGCCCTCAGTTAAAGTGCATTTCACATGCAAGAAGCAGTACTAGACCACCTCTTGAAAGTACCACACCACATGTAGTAGAGTTTTGGCATTTCTGTACTCAAACTGGACAAAACATAGTCCTCGTTTTAGGTCTTGATGGATAAGTTTGCTCATCTTCTGCTCTCGTTCAGCCATCCTCTCCCTGTAACTTACTCAGTTGGAACAGGGGATATGTTTTTTTGAAAAAGATTATCTAGTTTATTTCAGAACCAAGCACGAGTGGCATTGTGTGTTTACTTGCTGATCTCACTGTTGTACGTGTTTGTCTCTGCCTAACCCACAGGTCATGCATGCAGCCAGCCTCCTAGCCTGCGCTTTGTACATCCCGAGCCCTTGAGACAATGCACTACGAGTAGTTGGAGGTTCTTCTACCCGCTAGCTACCGTTTCTCCCCCCTGCCCCCACCGGTCCCAGACTTCCTTATGTTAACCCTCTTGAGCATGTTTTACTATATTTGTCTGCGGCGGCGCTCCAGGAGTGGGACCCGAGGCGAAGCTCTGACCAGTCGTCGGGCGGTGGAATCGGGCCAGCGGGCGGTGCTGCCGGTCAGTGTGGAAGTGGAGCAGTACGCCAAGGAGGTTCTGGACTTCAGCTCCCATTATGGCAGCGAAAACAGCATGTCGTACACCATGTGGAACCTGGCCGGCTCGCCCAATGTCTACCCCAGCTCGGGGGATTTCACCCAGACGGCCGTGTTCAGGGCTTACGGGACCTGGTGGGAGCAGTGTGCCAGCGCGCCGCAGCGTTTCCGCCGCATCCCCAACGGCTTCCACAGCCAGGATTACATAGAGCTGGGCTTCGAAGAGCCCGTCTACCCGACAGCAGTGGAGGTGTTCGAGACCTACTACCCTGGAGCCATCGTCCAGATCATGGCCTGCTCTCACAACCCCTTCTCTCAGAGCCCACCAACTGATGTCAGGTAATAGTTGCTGTTTTAGCTAAACTATCCAAATACAAGCATGAATTAACATTATGTTTATGGATTGGACACCAAGTTCCTAACGAACCCTGGCTTCATTTGGGAAATTCTGGAATAGTTTTTTCTCGGCAGGTACACAGTATGCCATAATAAATAATAAATACAGTACATTCAAATGAATGAATATATTTGAGTTATATGAGCTCTTACTGCACTATGGACACATAATGCACAGTTAAATACATACTACTGCTAAAATGTCACTAAAGATACCCTCTCAAATGGAGTTCAGGTGTCAGCTTTGCTCTATTATTGGTTTAAAAGACTCCATGCAGATAACTGATTTCGGATCAATAATGAGAAGCAAAATAAGTTCCACAAAATTGGAAGATTTGACATAGATGATAATCAGTAAAATCTGCAACAGCACACGTTGTTTATCAAATAACCTTTTCCTAAATACCATGTTGCATGTCCAGGTGGGAGGTGCTGTGGTCGGGGGAACCCACGAAGGCTCTGACTCCCCAGGCGCGGCAGTTTTCCCCCAAAATCAAGCACATCAACTTCCCCACCAATCTGCTGCGCCTGGAGTTCAACAGCTCCCTGCTGGACTACTACACGGAGCTGGACGCCGTGATCCTGCGCGGCGTGAAGGACATGCCCATGCTGGCTCTCTATAAGATGCCCCTCATCGATATCAGCGACCTGAGCGACAGCGAGGAGGAGCTGTCGGACGTGGGAGGGCCTTTCAGGCCGAGAGGAGATGGCAGGCACCAGAGCACAGGCAGCGGCTACTTTGACAAGCTGCCATACGAGGTGACAGCAGACCGCGGAACGTTTCAACTCTTTTATGCATGTGGCAGTCACAAACATTGTTGGGGAGGAACTTTGACCCTCTCCTTGGTTTTGTTTTTTTATGTCATTGAGCATAGATCTTTAAAGGTCCAGCCAAAGCATTTCAAATTCACTGAGATTGAGAACTGGGCTGGACCTTAACATCTGTTTTAAGTATTCTGTGGAAGATTTCCTGTCCTTGGAATTAAGAGGCCACTTATTTTTATTGGCCTCTTAATTATTATTAAGAACCAAAGCCTTTCTGACGGGTTCCTCTCAGAGAAACAAACATTTGGATGCTGCCCCACACACCCATTGTCGTTCAATTTGGAAGCTTGCACTCCTGACCTCTTACATTTAACAGAGTATCTGAGGCCTGAGGAGTCTGAGATGTTGGTGGATGTTGATGTAACTAGTTTGAATCTTTTCCATTCGTGAATGATTTGTCTGCGTCTAAAACAACGGGCTCCAAATGGTTTGGAAGTTTACTTAATTGCTGGTGAGCGACAGGTGCTCCTCTAAGACCCTTGCTAATTTCTTTCCTCATTGACTTTGCATTACCGAACAACTGAAGCAGCGCCTTGCTGCTTCTTACTTTACTAATTCATATTAAGTCCTAAATGCATGCTTTTCTTAGATAGATAATCCACAGTGTATTCTGACATGAGGTAAAGTCGATTGTGTTTATTGTGAGGACCGGGTTATTCGGTTTTTCCATTGTGTCTTGGTATTTAAAAACTTGTGTTCTCCCCCTTCTTGTGACCGTCTTCCGCATTCCTCGCCAACACATGAACGTTGCGGCTCCATCGGTTCTGGCTCCGTCTCTAGACCACGGACAGCGCCGAGTCATTCTCATGCCGCTCGCATCGCTCTCGTCTGGAGACGGGCTTCCAAACACCGGGGCCGCTCCCGACGTTTGTTCTCTCCCTGTTCCCTCCAAACCGCTGCCATTAGCAGAAGTCTTCACAACCGCTGCGTGTTTGTCTCAGAAACACAATACGGCTATTATCTGCCTGTTGATACCGGTTTGAATACGGCATATTGTTGATTCACGCCAGCACAGTCGCTCTTTCTCTTTGAGAGGCGCGCCGACGCAGAGCAAAACGAGCCGGCACGCCTCACCGCGGATCCCGCTTTCACTGCTTTGTGTTTAAGATGACCACCAATAAGTCCGGTCTGATATAGGGGACGCGATCACTATTCTTGCTATATTACTTTTAAGAATAACAGCTTTCTGTGCAGTAGAATGGAGCGCTGCTGTTAATGACACCTATTGTTACGTTTTGTGTTTTTCACACACGATTGTCGTTCATCTGGCTCTTTCAGTTTGAGCCCCCCCCCCCTCTCTCAGCCCACAATATCTTACAATTCCCCTTCTCCTCCGCTCTCCCCATCTTCCGTCCTCAGCTCATCCAGCTGATACTGAGCCACTTGACCCTGCCGGACCTCTGCCGTCTGGCCCAGAGCTGCAGGCTGCTGCACCAGCACTGCTGCGACCCGCTGCAGTACACCCAGCTGAGTCTGCAGCCCTACTGGCCCCGGCTGAGTGACGCCTCCCTGGGACACCTGCAGAGTCGCTGCACCCTCCTCCAGAGGCTCAATCTGTCCTGGACCGGCAACCGTGGAGCTCTCACCCTGTCGGGCTTCAGCAGGTTAGCTTATCAGCCAGTGGAGTGACCTTGGAGAAGCAGTAAATACTCACGGGTGGACTTTGTACTCTGAAACAAAACAAATGGACTGAAACATTGAGCAGTTTATAATGAAAATTGAATTAGTCCTCACTCGAAAATCCAATTGTGAAGAAAAAAAAAGGGCCCGCTTGCGGGGTGGATTCATTTTGATCCTCTGTCTCTCCCTCTGCCCATTCCTCCCCATCTCCCGCCACAGCTTTATGAAAGCCTGTGGTCTCAGCCTGGTCTGCCTGGAAATGTCGTGCTGTCACTTCCTGAACGAAGCCTGTCTGGAGGTCATCGCTCAGACCTGTCCCGCTCTGCAGGAGCTCAATCTGTCCTCCTGCGACCGCCTCCACCCACAGGCCTTTACACATATATCCAAACTCCCACACCTCCGCAGGCTGGTGCTGTACCGAACCAAAATAGAGGTAGGTGTTTTCGGCTGTCACAGCTGTCACTCGTGGACCTGGGTCCCTATTATCTAAATATATACAGCAAGCCCATTTTTCATTGAAATGACAGTCACCCTTAATGTGCCTCTTACCCTGTATACCTTCCATAAAGAGCCTCTATGCCTTTTATCATTTGATTTGAAGCGCTGCTTGAGAGGACACACTAATATAAAATCCTAACTGCCTCTTCGGATGTGCACCCCTCTGGCCAGGGATGACATGACAGATGGGATGTCTTTGAGAGCCTGTTATGGGCTTCGCTTAGCATCGTTAAAACGTACATAGAGTTCAGTTTTGACAACCCGAAACCTTTTTGTTTATGTATTACGTTGAAACTGCTTCAATTTGAGTGCTACAATTTTCACAGCCTAGCCTTCCTGCGTCCTGTAAGAGACAAAGTGTCGCTCCGTTATTGGGAAAATTTGATTTTGTTGGGCTCATTGTAGAGGCCTTTGAAAAATACACCGGTTGGCAATTTGCGCATGGTTGTAGATTCACTCTTTTAACGGTTTCCTAGAATTGCATTAAGCAGAGAAATGTTTTCAACAATGGCATGCCTTTATCAGCTGAGATGAGTTATTTTATTCATGTACGAGGGCAAACTTTAGTGATTAGCCCATGGACTATAAGAAAACGTAGAATATTCTGAATTCACTGCACAGGCATCTGGACTTCGATGGTTTATGTTCATGCATTCAGCAGATGCTTTTATCCAAAGAGACTCACAGTGCAGATACAACATTACAGTTAGCATCAATCTGACTAATCTACATGGAGGGAAATGACTGGTCAGACTCTGCTAGAAGCAACTGTGGTGACGGTTTAACAGAGGGACGTACAGAAAGAGTGGTAGAGGCAAAGGGTAAGAGTTAGGGTAGGAAAGGCTCTCTGGAGAGCTGGGTCTTCAAGAGGTGATGGTGATTTTAACCAAAGATTAAGCGTCAATTTGGTAACTTCATTTGGCTCAATCAGAATAACTTTCCCAAGGCCTTAGACAGTTTCACAAAATATAATTTAGATTGCTGCAGCTTTATAGGAAGTAAGATCGTGTTACACTCCTGCTTTACAAAAAAGGTGCAAAGAGATGGAACTTTGAATTGCTTAGAGCAATAAGGTCCATCAAAGTCATCTTATATGAGCGGAGTAACTAAACCCAAACCAACATGTCCAACTTTTTCTTTTTACTGTCAACTTAAAGAGCAGTTTGGCTGTGATGTATAATGTTTGCCTCTGAATTTGTTGTTTGCACGTTTTTCTGATGTATGCATGGTTGTTTGAGTCGCTTTTACACCTGTAGCTTGCCCAGAGTGTACCCTACCTCTCTATCTATGACAGCTTGGTTAGGTTCCAGCCGCTGTTACCTTAAACAGAAAAGATGTCTCGAAAAATGGTTTTGTTATTGATTGCAATTTCTACAGGTAAACGTTTTTATTAGCATTTTTATTTAAAAAGCTGATAGAGGAGTAAAGAAAAACAGCAGTTATTCGTAAGGGTCTTGTTCTGGGCTGTCAGACGCCGTTTATCTTCTTTTAAGATGAATAACTGTGGGTCCCGGGTTCCTTAAGGACACATTAGCGCGCGTGTGCTCATGCTCGGACACGTCTGAGGTGTAGCATGGCTGCGGTGTGTTTTGGTGTTGAGCCTCAGCATTTCTGCTGTGTTTGTCATGCTCCAGAGTGGTTGGCATTAGGCGGTGTAGGGTTTCTGTGGCGGAGCCAGGCGGCCCACTGCAGGCTGTTTACACCTGGACACACAGAGCGAGCAGTGTGTCTGTCGAGGGCCCCCTGACACCTCCACCGTCATTACCCTGTCACCGCTCTAATTAAACGAGTGGCTCGCCAGGGAGAAGCGTTTATAAAGGTGCCAGGCTGAGTCGGGCACACGCTCGCACACGAGGCCTCCACTTTCATGTCCTGACACTTTCTCCTGCCACTGAGGCACGTGCTCTGGCAGCCGCAGCGTTCGATTCCCTCATATCCCTCATAGCTGGAGGACCACTGGAGAAAACATGTAAAAATGATATCTTCCTCATTATTGAATTCCATTTAATGTTTAAAGTGAGGAGGGTGCAGACAGCAGGCCACTCAGAAGGAATGCCAGGCAGATCGCACGACCAGGCTTGTTTTTTTTTGTTTGCGCTTATATAGTTCATGTAATGAACGCTTCCTGATTCGCACACAGATAAAATGTCCTGGTTTATTTTTTAATAACTTGGCTGCTGTGCAACAGGTATTGCAGTTTTTGCGTGTGGAAGCAAGTGTTTCAAGGTTCACTGCGACCTCTTCTTTTGAAACTCAAACTGGATTTGTGGATGACAAAATGAAGGCAGATAGTTCACGGATTGTGACTTCTAGTAGTGCTGCATTTCTTTATCTTAATCGTTACCGTCAAATCAAATGAGCTAATATTTTTTGACGGAATAGTAAAATGCCTTATTTTCAATATCTGATGTACTTTTGATGCTCCTGTTGAACTTTGGAGCCACTGGATAAAATTTAAACTAATACGTAGATTATTGTACTTCTTTTAAGTCTTTCTCTTTGTTCTCTCCACAGCAAACTGCCATCCTGAGCATCCTCACCTTCTGCACGGAGCTGAAGCATCTCAACCTGGGGAGCTGTGTGAGGGTGAGAATGGACTGAGAGCTAAACAAATATAGTGTACAGAAACAAAACCTTTAATTAGTTCTGACAGTTTGGGTCATAATGCACAATCATAGTGTCCCATTTATGCTTGTTCTACAATGATATCTATGACTCTGGATTGACTGAAACTGTGTTACCAGTGTAAGTTTGTATCACAGTGAGGGAGAAAGGCCATTTTCTATTTCTTTGACTTTCTGATTGAAAATGTTGCTGTCCCTATTTTTTTAATTACGATTTTTTTCAGGCCGAACACACTCTGACTTCTTTTGTATGCCCCTTTAAGACGTCCAGGCATCCCGTTTTTATTTATGTTTTATTGATATTGGAGGCAAATATTGCAACATCAATAAAGAGGCGTGTAAAGTCAACATTTCAGTCCAGTTTTCAGCAGTGATGAAAACTGTACTGCAGATAAGCAGGAATGAAAGTCCATGTCACCTTAACACTGACAAAAATTCCCCTTGTGGATGCTTCTTTGGTGACGGGGTATGTTCTGATCTTTTGATTGAAAAATACATGTCATTGCTTTGACTTGTCTAAAAAGTCTAAAAAATTGAAGATATCCTGACACCAAGGAACAATAACCTGCCTACAGATCGTCCATTTTCTAGCCTTAGTTGAACCTTGAGAGACCCTCCAGGTCTTTCTCTGTAGCTTGTGCACTCACCAGTCAGGGTAAACCCGTCTCCTCCTCAGATTGAAGACTACGACGTGGTGGCCAGCATGCTCGCCGCTCGCTCCCGCTCCCTCCGCTCTCTGGACATGTGGCGCTGCAGAAACCTGACGGATCGCGGCCTGACGGAGCTGGTCTCAGGCTGCAGGTAGGCTGCGCCCACAGAGCCCAGCGGGCAGGAAAACGCCAGCGTATTTGAAGCGCGTTTTTTTTTCCCGGTCTACATCCGTCTTTTCCTGTGTGCTGTGGTTGCTCAGGATGTTGGAGGAGCTGGACCTGGGCTGGTGTCCCACGCTGCAGAGCAGCACCGGGTGCTTTCAGCAGCTCGCCCGCAACCTGCCGCGCCTGCGAAAGCTTTTCCTCACCGCCAACCGCACCGTCTGCGACTCGGACATCGAGGAGCTGGCCGCCTGCTGCCCGTCGCTGCAGCACCTGGATATACTCGGTACGGGCTGACCGCACACGCCTGTGAATTTGTCCCGATAAACAGCCTCCACGCAGCCAGCCTCTGAGGACTGTATTCATTCTGTGTATAGAACACACAGATTCCTGAGTAATGGCTCTATTACGGCGTGTCTGCCTCGCTCTTTGTTCCTGACCATCACCACAGTAAGGTGGAAAAAGACGACATTGAAAGGGAAAATAGTCCCTTGCACTTTAATATTTTATGTCGCCCATTTTTGCACCCCCACCGTCTCCATAGTTTAACAAGAGATTCTGCCCACGTTTTGTCATTCCTCCATAATTTGCCCATAATTTGGACACACAGCCATGGTAATCAGCTTATCATCTTAGTAGGATTCCCAGTCCTGAGGTTGTATTTGAGCGCTCCAGTTCAGTTTCCTCTCCCTCCTCTTGTGGTTTAACAGGCACGCGGCTGGTGAGCGCCGGCTCGCTGAAGAAGCTCCTCCAGTCGTGTCCCGGCCTCCTCCTCCTGGACGTCTCCTTCTGCTCGCAGATCGACATTCGGGTCGTCCAAGAACTCTCCGGCCTCTTTCCCAACGTGGCGATCAAGAAGAGTTTCACTCAGTGACCCCCTCCATCGTCTCGTTTCTCACTGCCAAGAGGTAGAAAGCGTAGGGAGAGGCCCGCCAGCAGATAGTGCTCCGAAACGAGCCGGGGGCGGGTTGGGCGCTGGACGGGAGTGCCCACAGCTACATTTTACCTCTCGTGGTAAATAATGCAAACGCACTGTTTGAGGGTGTTCTTGAGATTTCTTTTTTTTTTTTTTTTTTTAAATGACTGAATACACCGATACCTAGTTCCCCTGTGGTGTACAACGTGACACAATTGTTTTAATTTGGAGGATCATTACTATCATTGCTCCACTTCCTGTTTTTAAAGCCAAACGACATTCTATACACAAAAACGCATTGGTACAAGACATGTACACAAAAGACAGTTTTTTGGGTTTTTTTGTTGTTTTTTTTCTAAGGGATCCCGCTTTTTTAGTTGAAAAAGAAAGGGACTTGAAAACGGTGAAACTTGGGTGGAATGGCCCACTAAAGGTCAGTGCCTTGTCCAAACACCAACGCGCTGGTTTAGTCTCCTCGCCCAATTTAAAAAGCTACCACTCCTATTTATTTAGGTTTGCTTTCTCTCAGCGTTAATGTATAATTATAACAAAATGAAGTCTGTTTTTGTGGAATATGTTGTATATTGGAGCGTCAAACGCCCTGTTTGTTACACTGGGAGGCGTTTTCAGGCTCCAGAGTTGTGCCGTTGCCACATCCCTTTGCTTTTGCCCCTTTTTCCTCAAATTGACGCCATTTTCTTGGATTCTCACAGAAATGTTTTTGTAACGTGCTTTACAGCTCTGTTCATAGCAGCTGGTTTCAGCACATCAGCCGCCTCTTTTCTTTGCTTAACCCCGTTTGAAATCGGCGGAGCAGCTTCCTGCGAGCGTACAAAACAAAAAAAAACAGGCATGTTATTATAGCGAGAGCATACAGCAAAGAGCCTTAGAGCCCACGCTAGCACACTCCATGCTGACTGACTGGTAGTTTTATTCCCAAACACTCACGTTTCCCTCATCTGCCTTAATGCCACAGAATAGTATGAAGCAGGGGTTACTCATCCGAGTCGGTGGCGCCGCTTTGAAGTGTGTGAGCACACATTAATGCAGAACACTGCTGTTTTTCTTCTGCGAAAACCACTGCAAAGGTGCAAGAAAAATGTGTTTTTTTTTTTGTTGTTTCGATCTGAACCACTCAGGTTTTAGGAAGTCACTGTAGGAGTGTTCACAGTTTTAAGTTCCATGAGCATAACGAGTGTCATTCAGAAGGCTTCCGACTGAATTCAACTGTAAATAGCATTTATTGCTGTTGTGCTCATAGATGGATGGTGAAATCAGATATCTCTGGGTACGCCGCGGAGTGTACAATCTCAACTTGAACTTTTTGTTGCCACAGGCTGCATATACACTCAAACCAACCCAACAGCCCTAAAGGAATTCCACTGATGCCGTTTAAAATCGAGATTTAGGGACGCAAGGGTGTAAAAAGATGCTAAAACTTCTGTAAGAAAGCAAGAAGCCTAACCTGAAAAAAGCTTAAACAGTTAAAAAGACAATCGTGTGTAACACCTCCCCTCAGTCAACCCAAAACAAAGTGATTTCCGATTTTTGGGTGGTTTTCAGAGGCCCCCGCATTCCAGCCCTCCAGATGGGAGTGCATTTGTGGTGGTCAAAACTCGCTTTTTGTTTGAATTTTAGAGATCGGAAGAGAATGTCTCTTGCTCCCGGTCGGCCTCTGTTTAAATCAACTGATTGAAAAAGAAAAAATGTCTAAAGGAAATAATGTTCGGTTAGCATTCAGGGTATGAAGCACCTGACTGAATGAGTGTCCTCAGGTCCTACAGATCATTCATTTTGTGGTTGATTGGTTTGTTTTATTTGAAGGTTTGCCCGTTAGGCCTTTAAGACATTTGTTTCATAGTTTAAGATTTAAAAGATGTTTCTTTCTTTGACTTGTTTCCTTTCATTGTTCGTTCTGAGCTGCCTGTGATCGCTTTGGAGGACAAGATGGATTAAAACTGAACTGTTATGATGTGACCTCCGCATTTGTTGTCAAACTCAGGGGTTATAAGGCATACACACATCAACATCATGGTATAACTTTTCTTCTTTTTTTATCCAAAAAAGAGCATATTCTTTACTCCAGAAACCAGCACAAAAGACGTCTTTACAGCGGACCGGTCGGCCACCGGTGGTGGTCATCAGACATAGGACACAAACCATGGACGTAAAGCTCAGAGCTGATTGGCTGTTGAACGTTGCAGTGATTGTAAGATTGTTTTTTTTGTTTTTTTAAACATCACGTTGCTGTTGCTGTGCGTCACAGTGTGGCAGATGAGCCGCGGGAAAGTTTCTTTTTGTGAGAAAACTTGAATTTCCTTGTTCTTCTTCTTTTTTTTGGGGTGCACATGCTGATAGTAAATATTTGTGCCTTATATTCCTGTTTGAATGTGGTGTCGATGTCCAAGTGGTGACCCCTGTGGTTTGCTTTGCTTGTACGACCCTTAACCAAAGTAAGAAGCAGTCACCTGGATCTGACTAGTCTTTACGCCACACGCTGTGCGTCAGCCATGTGAGTCTTTATGCAAATCTGATTTCTCTTTACTCCTCTGTATGATATGTCTGCAGGAGCAGAAACAATTGACCTTTTTTTTTAGCCAAGTTCTGTTTGCACTTTTCACAAAACAGGTCAGGTTTTGAAATACTGAGTTGTGATTTATTAAACCCTATACCTTTAAATTGTGTTGAATTGGAGGCCCTTGAAGTGGCCGCGTAGAAATCAACCCTTCATCGATCTTCATAGTCTTATCATAGTCTTAAGGGAGGTGGTGGAAGCTCCTCATTCAGGTTCTGCAGACATTACTGACAGTAACCCCATCATTGCTGGTTGATTTAAGGCTCAAAATACCAGCATGCATCACACTTCTTCCTCTCCCCCCTAAATGCAGGCAGGGAGTTGAGGTGCGCTTCAAAATCTAGTTCATTAATAACCATAGCCATAAATTGAGACCAATGGCAATGTGTTGTTTGTACATGAAGTTTGAATTGGAACCCCTTTCTAAAGACTAGCTAACAAACACCCTGGTCAGCGCTCTGGAGCTGTGGGGCAGTGTCCTGCCCGGAGTGGCCCTGCCCTTCTGTGACCAGTGTGCACTCTGTCCTCAGGCGCTTCGGACACCAGGTCCTCCTCCTCGCCATGCACTGACCGTGCCAGGAAAGCCTCCGCGGTGTCCCAGCGTCCTGACCGAACCGGGTGCTTCCTTTTCACCGGATTTCAAATAAACTCCAGGCTTGGCGACTGATGCGGTGTGGTGGCCTCTTTCTCTTTTGGTCCTTTGGGGACGTTTAAAAGCCGTCTCAGTCGGGTGAGGTGGGTGGAGTGGGTGGGGGGGGACGCTGATTATCCCATATTCCCTTCTCACTTATTCCTCCAGCTTGTGTCACAGCCAAAAAACAAAGGCGGGTTGCCTGAACCGGGGGCTCGGCGAGCCCACAACTGGCCGTTTGTCAGGATGAGCGACTGGATCGCTGTTGTGGAATGATCCTTTTTGAGTTAACCCTCTGCCATTTTTATAGTCTATTAATACCTCAGGGAGAAGTGACATTAGCTTGTCTTCTTAACGGCTTTTTAATGAATTGTTTATGCCTGGTTTAATGATGTATATTGTGGCCCTGTAATGTGGCCTAATGACGGGAGAATGAGTCGGTCTCGGCTGAACTATTAATTTGGAGTGCCTCCCCAGCGATTATTCCTCAGCCACCGACGCTCTGCCGGCGTTTGTGCGGCGCAGACGTGATTCATGGAGGCTTTCCGGTCTGCGCCACGGCTTGATTTCTTGCTGTCACACTCTTTCGTGAGGCTGATATATGCATGGGGGTCAGTGGGGGGGGGGGTCCACAGCAATTAGTTCAGCTTTTTTTTATTTGTCTTTTTAAGAACTCGACAGACGTAGCTCTCCAAAGATGGATGGATAGGCGGTTCGTGGAAGAAGAAACGTTCTCCTGTTCAGGTTCAGGGAGACCTGGTGTGCCCCCCCCCCCCCCCGGGCCGGGCCCCCGCAGACCTGCCTGAGGGAGGCCTCGCTGTGATACCCGTCATTATGTGGCTTTGCGCTCCTTCTTCGGTTTCCCGGATCAGGCTCTAATACCGAAGACATGTCCCCCGCTGCCTTGTCTACAGATGATTGTTTTGGATATGTTGTGTTTTCTCCCCCCCCCCCCCCCCCTTTTGTTTTTAAGCGCGTTGAGAATGTCAGCGCTCGGTAACTTAAATCCGTTCGAGCGTTGGCGTCTGTGCGAGGCAGCGTGGCTTCAGCCGTGTCCAAATCCATGAGGAGGACTGCTTGCAATGGCGCACGTTGTAGTCTGACTACGACTGGCCAGTTTTATTGCTGTAAACAAGTGACAAGTGGCGGAAAAGACGAGTTTCAGCGCGTCTTTGGGCACACAAATCTAAACAACCTGTGACCCTGCAGACACGGGAGCCTAAAAAGACAGTTTCCTTTCATTAGACAGTTTCTCATTGCTGTGATCACCATTGTTTCAGAATCTTGGTCTTGGTCTTGTAATAGGCAACGAACGGACGGCACATGCTGGCCAATATCACATGTTTGGCGTTTGGAAGAAAGAGAGTCTGGAGTGGGATAGAGCTTTGGAGGCCTCTGTGCCGATAAAGTGTTAATTACACACGAGAGCCTTTTTTGCGAAGAACATTCTTGTCTAATTTAATTCTGTACGTAATTTACATGCGTTTAAAATCCAATCTTCTTAAGCTGATTATGCATAAGGAAACTTGACTTCATATGAGGTCAAAAGGAATTATGGAGCCACAGACCCAGGGGCGTGATGGGTTAGGGTCAGGGAAGTGATGGAGATGTGGCCACAGGTGAAGTTTAAAAAAATCTGGTTAAACATGTCCATCTTGGGTATTTTCTCTCCTCTCCAGCCCCGACCTCTTCCGCCCCAAAGGGGGTGAAGTAGGTTTGGAGTGCAGTGGTTTGGATCTTTGTGGGACCCGCTGGATCGGGGGGGGTCTGGCACAGACACCGCCGGTGTGAGCTGAGCGTGTCTCGCAAACAGGCCCAGCAATTAGAACTGGAATAATTACGTGCTGCAGAGGAGACACGATTCGCCCCACCGATCAGCAAAGTTCACGCGAAAGTTATAATTAAACAATAACTCGTTTACAAATGAACGCACGGACGCATTTGTGTACTT